AAGGGTGGTTTCCATACACAGGGGGACCCCAAGCTCCAGACTGAACCTTAAACCCGAAACCCCTATAGTCTTTACTATAGATACCCTCAAAAAGACAACTTGTGTGCGGAAACCCCCAGCACACCCTCTCAGTTAAGGCCAGCACCGATACCATGGCATGGCACTGCATAGTCCTGCGGGTTTAGGGTTTAGGGACTTTCTGGGATCGGAATACGCGGCGGGGGCTATTACCCCAATAATGGACAAGAAGTTCGAAAAATATGAAAACTGGGATTGCATAGAGTTTATACGGAACCCTCGTCCCAATTTTCAGGATTGTAGTAGTTTGAGGTCCATATTGGGACCCCTAATTATGCCCCCACATCAGGGAAACGGATTCGAAAAAATCAAAAAAGAAAAAGTTTGCCGAATTCTTGTGGCACGGCTGACACTAATTCTTCGAGAGGTTTGTCTATGTGAGCTATAGTCTAAACTCCTAGTATCCCCCTTAATAACCCCTCTAATACTCCCCTATATAATCCACTATAGAATCCCCCTTTCAGGAGTTTAGACCCTAAACCCTAAACCCTAAACCCTATAGAATCCCCCTTAAAGGAGTCTAGATAATAGCTCATGTGAGCTTGCTTGCCTTGGCTTTGGGCTGGCTCCGGTGTTATTGGGGCTATATTAAGGCTGTATATGGTAAATGGACAAGAAACTGGAAACTACTGTGTTATAATAGGGGTTATATAGGGCTATGTTGGGGTTATGTATATGATTAATGGAAAAGAAAATGGAAAGTACTGTGTTAAATAGGGGCTGTATAGGGGTTATATGGGGTTATACTGGGGTTCTATATATGATTAATGGAAAAGAAATGGAAACTACTGTGTTATCATCGGGGCTGTATAGGGGTTATATAGGGTTATATTGGGGTTATATATATGGTTAATGGAAAAGAAAATGGAAACTACTATTTAGGGTTTAGGGTTAGGGTTTTGTTCTGGCTTTGCTTGGACGAAAAGACAAACCCTGGCAAAAAGATAGTCTGAAACAAGACCGCCTGGTTAGGTTTAGGATTTAGGGTGTCAGAAACAACTTGGGTGAAGCACCAAACCCAAACCACAACACAATCCCAGTGTCCATTTCATGTTCCGTTTTTGCATTTGAAGCTCCATGACTGGGGAAAGAACTCCAATGTAATCCCCATAGAAAACCCAAAACCCCAAACCTAAACAATGCAGTAGTGTCCATTTTCCGTCCGTTCCACAACCCAAAACGCCAAACCCACCGTCCCATATGTTCCCTATAAAACTCCTATAAAGCCCGATATAATCCCTACTCAACGGATATAAGGCCATATATAGTCTCTATATAGCCCTTTCTATCCCTAGGGCCCTGAACCCTAAACCCTAAATCCTCCCTCACCCCTAAACTCTAAACTCCAAACCCTAAACTCTCAAGCCCATATAAACTTGCCATTACTTAGGGATACCAAATTTCCAACTCTCCAAAATTTCAAAGGCACGCCCCCAAACCCGGAGGAATGGCAATAAACCCTAAGCCCTAAACCCTGAAACCCTAAACCCTAAACCCTAAACCCTGAAACCCTAAACCCTGAAACCCTCAACCCTAGACTCTAAACCCTAGACCCTAAACCCTAAACCCTAAACCTAAGCCCTAAACCGTAAGAGCAGGCCATAGGCCTCCTGCGTGAGAACTGGCTCCGAGGATGACTTCTCCATGACCTTCGATGACCATGTGGGCTTAGGGTTTAGGGTCTTACGGTTTAGGGTTTAGGTAGGGTACTGCCCCCTCAGTAACAGTTGGATAGAACTTATAGTATGGTTATATATAGCCCTTACTAAGACCCCTAACATAGACTGTTATTGGGTGGGGGCAGTACCCAAGGTTTAGGGTCTAGGGCTTAGGGTCTAGGAGTCTAGGGCTTAGGGTCTAGGAGTCTAGGGCTTAGGGTGTAGGGCGTAAGGTCCAGAGTTTGAGGTTTAAAAGGGTTTCGGGTTCGGGGTGTAGGGTTTAGGGTGAAAGGTTGAAGGTTTGGAGTTTTGGGTGTAGGGAAGAAGGTTTAGGGATAGATTGAAGACGGGCTATTCAGAGATTGTTACCCCAATGAAAGGTTATTTCTGGATGATATAGGGTTATATAGCTGCATATAGAATGTAGGGTATTACCACCAAGAATGGAGAATCAAACGGAGAAAAAAATTGAAAATGAAGTGGAAACCGGAATTATCTGGGCCTTAAAAATAATACGGATGGATCTTTGGGACTCTGCTTAAATCATGCGGCTAGTATGGGACCAGTATACAAGCCCCCCACAAATTAAGGGGATTGTTGGTACGAGTACCTATAATGGCTTCTTCAGGCATATGAAGGCTTTTTAGGGCTTCTTAGGCCTGGTTAGGTTGGGAGGATGCATATTGGGGGCTTTAGGGTTTAGGGTTTGGGATTTAGGGTTCAGGGCTTACAGTTTAGGGTTTAGGGCTTATTGTTTAGGTTGGGTACTGCCCCCCCTCAGTAAATAATAAATGTAATATGGTTCTATATAGCCCTTAATAGGACCCCTAATACAGACTGTTACTGGGTGGGGGCAGTACCCAAGGTTTAAAACCCTAAACCCTAGACCCTAAACCCTAAACCCTGTGATGTTCAATCAAAGCGCGGCCTTCGCCTCGCGCTCGCCAGCGAGGCCCCTCTCACTACGGACTGGAAGGAGCCAAAACGGCCCATGCGAAGGCATGCGTCAGCATTTGGGTGGTTGTCAAAAATATGGTCCCTTTTTGGATCCCTACGGCACCTAATATTTAGGGTACCCAAAATGGGACCATAATTTTGACAACCACCCATTTGCATCTCTTGGCACACTTCTTGTAAACAAAATCTGAGCTCTATAGGGAGTAGTAACCCAAAAAATGGTACCCAACAGATTTTGAAACCCGAAACTTTATGTCCCCCTATATATCCTCCTTTATAAGCCCTATATAGCCCCTACATCTCCCCAACCCTGACCCTAAACCCTACAATGTTAGTACAAAATCTGAGCTTTGGTACAGCACGTGGCCTCTGAGTCTCCGATCTGGTCCATGCGCGCCGCTCCAGCCAGGTCAACTGTCTGCAACTGCGCCCTCCTGTCTAGGGTTTAGGGTTAAGGGTTTAGGTTTTAGGGATAGGCTTTAGGGCTTAGGGTTTTTTTACAACCTTTTTTTTACAACCCTGAGGGTTTTCCGGGCTAAGAGTTTAGGCAAACTACTCTCACGAACGCCAGCACTCCTTTGTGTGGTTTCCAAGAATTAGGGGTCCCTTTTTGGGAAGTCCCTAGTGGAGATTGTACGATCTTGGGGTCCGCGATGGAGTAAGCCTGTTTTGGAAAAAGTAAAACTTCCCAAGCCCTTTGCCATGTCCTGCGTTTCACACAATCCCTGTATAATACAATGAATAGTAGCTTCCATTCCATTTTCCATCTTCTTTTCCATTATTGGGGATATATACATCCTCAACCCTAAGCCCCAAACCCTACGCCCTAAACCCTAAGCCCCAAATCCTACACCCTAAACCCTATTCCCTCAACCCTACACCCCAAACCCTAAACCCTAAACCCCAAACCGCCCGACCCCTAAACCCCAAAAAACCCTAAAACCCCAAATAGTAGTTTCCATTTGATTTTCCATTCTCCCTACATAACCCCAATATAATCCCTATATAACCCCTAATATAAACATGGCCTGCGCTTCATGTCTTCCAAAGCACGTCCAGGCACCAGCTGCTCAACTTGGAAGGTGGCCACGGCATGGGAACCTCAAGGCAAGAGCTTGGGAATTTGATCTAGGGATTAGTTAGGCTTATATAGGGATATATAGGTTTTAGGCTTATATAGGGATATATAGGTTTTAGGGACATTACTCCCAATGATGGAGAACCAAATGCAGAAGAAAAGCAGCTGCAAGTCTGTCATGACTGGCTCAGCCGATCTTCTGAGGCAACGACGCGATGAGACGGTGTTCATGTTGGTTCTTGCCACGGCTCTCATTTTGTGGCCTTGGCTAGCGTATGCTTGCTCTCTTGCTAGGCTGATATATAACCTTCTTATAATAGATATATAACCCATTTGAGTAGTTTCCATCTTCTTTTCCCTTCCTAAACCCTCAACCCTATATAACCCATTATAGTAGTGTCCATTTTCTTTTCCCTTCCTAAACCCTAAACCCTAAACCCTACATAACCCATTATAGTAATAGACATTGAACCCCTCTGGGTCGCTGGCCGAAGTCCAGCAAACGCAGTACATCAGCCACGCTGGACACCACGTTCCAAGAGAGATCTTGGCGCAATTTAGCTACTTTAGTATAAGGGTTTTCTAGGGACAATAGAAAAGAACATAGAAACTACAGGGATTATCGGGGTTATATAGGGGTTATATAGGGATTATAGGGTATATATTGGGGTAAAATAGGGATAATGGAAAAGAAAATGGAAGCTACTATAATATATTTTAATATAATAGGGTATTTATGTTGAATGAACGTCCCAAATCGAACAGGACACTTGCAAATACAGGGACACACGACCAGCACCGAGAGCAAGTGGCTGCAGGAAATCAGAAAGCCAGCCATCTGGCCTTTGTACCGCATGCTCTCCTCCAATCCTATACAATCATGGTTCCTGACCGCTAGCAGCCCCTTGCCGTTGCAAAATTCTTGGCAGCGGCGCCTTGCGGCAGGCTTACCCGCGAGAGACCGAAAATTTGCTAATCTCGCGAAAATTTTGAAGAATGGGTGAAATCTGATGATTGCCGGCATCGGCATGCTGACCACACAACCTGGAAACACATCCCAATACTCAATAGTCCAGCCCCGCTGCAATTGCGCTAACTCATGGCGTAAGTTAGAGCGACAACAGGAGACGCTCAAGTTGACTTCCTGCTACTGGCTCATGTCTTGTGACCAGCTCGCATCTACTCCTAGGAATCGAATCAATCTGCTCTTTGGCATTGAGGCTCCGGTGTTATCGCAACTCCACCTCAAGCTCCTTCACCAGACCTCAGCACTACAATATCCATGGTGGAAGCTCGGCCGCTTTGGACATCATTCTCAAATTGATCGCAAGGAGAAAATATAATCAATTGTTCTTTGATAAGCGGTCGAGCGTCGGTCCAAGACTGTCTCGTGCTTAGCGTTGACCTCCTCGTTTGTCAAAGTTCGTGACATATCGCGCCAGGTCACGCGGAACATCTTGGATCGGCGGCCTCAGCAGCCATTGAATGCAAACAGACGAAGCTGCACTCTTCATCCCACTTGCCTGTCTTCGGGTGCGTGAAATCATCCATCAGGTCCACCTTCTCGACCTGGTAAGGAAGTGAGTCACCCTTCATGATTGGACCCATTTTTGTTTGGCGGCTACAGGATGACTCGCACCTGGTCACCGCCCTCATCGCGAATCATCTCGAACAGGTCGTTGTCAGCAAAGTCTTCCGGGATCCACATGCTGATGTCCTGATCCACATGTTGCGGGTGCATGACCAAAAAGACGTCTGAGACTTTGCGACCGTTGGCACATGCCTTGAGAACCGGAGGATATTTGGAGAACGGCTTGAACTTTGTCTTCCTTGCACAACGGCAAAGTTCAGCAACTCTTTGTCCATCAACTGGGCTGCTGTCAAGATATCTTAGCTTAAGTACTATAATAAGGAAACCATATTATTTACTATATGCTATATACGCCTACTATGGTAACTTGAGTTCCTCAACAGCAGCCCAGTCAAGCTGTTACGCTTGCTCTTTTGCCAAGGCACTGCTCAAAGGACTCTGCGACGAACTGTTCAGAGAAACGGGGATCATCCGACCAGAACAGCCGGATGTCGGGGATGCCAAAGAGAACCTGGTGCGAAGCAGGTCCAAAAGGTACCCCTAATTTTGGGAAACCCCTAACCCTGCATCCCCTACATATCCCCTAGCATATTATAGTATACTAGAGTACCCATTATAGTACATTACAACCATAATAATAATAGTACACTATAATCATAACAATAATTTAATAACTTTATAGTACAATGGGGCTGCAGAAGAATTGCTCAGCCTATAACCTGCTAGCCAGTGGCGTCCCGTTCCTTGAAGGGCTCTTGATCCACTTACCTGTTACTGCAACCTGCGACATAGGGGGTTCAGGGCTTAGGGGTTTAGAATTTTGGGGTTTAGCATTTTGGGGTTTGGAGGTTTTGGGGGTTGGAGGTTTTGGGGGTTCAGGGTTTTGAGGGTTTATGGTTTCGGGGGTTTTGGGTTTAGGAGTTTGACATAGGGCCTCTGAAGCCTCTGAAAGTTGCGTCCCCACACTGCACCGCTAGAAATTGATACCGCCGTGATCTGGTAGTTTCCCAAATTAGGGGACCCCAATACAAACCCCAAAATACTAGAATCTTCATTATAGGGCCCCAAAAAAGGTACCCCTAATTTCGGTAAATCCTAAATTCCAAATCCCCTTATATCCCCCTTTACATCCCCCTTTCTCTCTGTCTATATATCTCCTTGTGTATTTTAGTATATAGAACCCCAAATAAATATCCCCTACCTCTCCCACTACATATCCCGATATATCCCCCCCAAACCCTAAACCCTAAGTATCCCCTAGTATATTGTGGTAAATCTAACCCCAAAATATCCCTTATATATCTCCCTATATAACCCCCCTAAACCCTAGACCCTAAACCCCAAACCCACAACCCTCAACCATAAACCCCAAATCCCAAACCCTAAACCCCAAACCCTAAACCCTAACCCGTAAACCCTAAACCCCCGAATATATCCCCCATATGAGCCCTGGACTAAATTTGTAGTATATCCCTTAATAGGTCCCCCCCAAAAGCCTATACAGTCCCCTAAAAGGTCCCCCCAACCTAAATTGAGTCCGTAACCTCTAAACCCTAAACCCTAATCCCTAAACCCTAATCCCTAAACCCCATATAATCCCCTATAGACCCTAAACCCTAATCCCTAACCCCCATGTAGACGTCTGCAGGCCAGGGGGCCATCGCCAGGCGCTCAAGGCCAAGGCCAAAGGCCCAACCATGAACCTTTCCCAGGATCCAGGCCGTTTTAGGGTTTAGAGTTTGGGATTTGGGGTTTAGGGTTTGGGATTTAGGGTTTAGGGTTTGGGATTTGAGGTTTAGGGTTTGAGGTTTAGGGTTTGGGGTTTGGGGTTTAGGGCCTAGGGTTTGGCGTTTAGGGCTTACTTAAGCTTTGGGGTTTAAGGTTTAGGCATGGACCTTCGCAGGATCCAGGCCAGCATTCCGCAAGACCTGGCCAGAGGTACTCCAACATATCATAAGCGTCGTATAATAGATTATAATGTATTATAATATACATGTACTAGAAAATACTATAGCGTATGATGCTGTACTATAATGTCTTATAGTATACTATAATATAATATAGCAGGGGATATACAAGGGATATAGAGTTTGGGGTTTCCCAAAACGAGGGGTACCTTTTGAGGGTCCCATAATAAGGAGCATGTCTTATTTTGGGATCTATATAGGTGTCCCTCATTTAGGGAAACGAGCAATCCAGCTCTGCGGAAAAGTCATGGATATTGACAATACGTCCAGCACAGCAAGATGAGCAGCAACTGTACCATGATGCTAGTCCACTTGCAAGAGCTTAGGCGAGGACGTCATGGTGGATGACCTCAGAACTTCCATGCTGTGCCCACAACTGCGAACAAAGCTACAAGAAACGCGAAACCCAAGAACCCAAGGGCCGAACACCGCATCCAAGAACTTCCATCCAGTCGTCCTGGTAGAAGATCTCAAGCTCCAGCGAAGGCTCTGTAAAAGGGAAATACTCATCCAGCCATCGCATCGTGTCTTCCCCTGTCTTCAGCTGGAACAAGTGGGCTGCCAGGCCTTCGAGGGTCTTCTTCAAATCCTCCAGGACTTCTTCTCTCGAGACCTTCTCTGCATCGAACAGTCTGACACCTTCACATTGGTGGAATGCTGGATAATGCGATGCGTCAATCTCATCCCTCCTGTAGACATCGCCCGCACACAGGAAGGATTTGATCTCGGGATATTGGCTCAGAAACTGACATTGGTGTGCGGATGTGTGCGTCCGCAAGACGTAATCCTTGTTCACATAATATGTGTCTGAAGGCGACCTGGATGGGTGCTCCGGCGGAACTCGCAACTTGTCGAAGCAGTCCACAGTGTTCACAACCGGTTTCTCTGTGTCGAAGAACTTGCAGTCGGCATCCTGCTCCGCGAAGTAGTCTTGCACTGTTTTCCACAAGATACCCAATGGGTGCTTTGGATTGAGCAGCAGGTCCTTCCCAAGCTTCTCTCGAACACCGACAGGAACGTTGTACTTCTCATCTGGCGCCACTCCCAGCAGCTCGCCCGGAGGAGCCAGCACTGTTGCTGCCTTGCGACTTGTCAGCGCGCAAGCACGCGGAGCATTCGGCCGGTGCAGTCGCAGAGACCTTCCCGAAGAGATTGCTTGGCGCTGCACTCCGCTTGACCGGAGCGCAACCTTCCGCAAAGCTGCCAGGGCTGAGGCTGCGACAGCAGCGCCAGCCATGGCCTCTGATGGCCTGAACGCTCCACTCGACTGGCCAGCTGACGGCCGTGAAGAAGCCTTGATGGGAATGCCAGCTGGTGGGTTCAGCGCTCCTGAAGCAACAAAGGCGCTTCCCAAATGGCTCATCGCAATGGCTCCCACGCTCGCGGTGGATCAATCTGAACGCACCCTTGAACCAGCTGCGTGCGCGAAGTTGTTTCACAAGCTAAGGTGTGCAAGAAAGGCATTGAGAGACACAAGAAGCTGTACGCACATGTACAATCATGTACGTTGAGCTCTTCTTCCAACCCAGGGTTGCACTTAATTTTGGCTCCCGGCTGCCAACGAAGACACCCACCCTTGGATGCTGCCTCACCTCCAGGGGGTTAGCTTCAGACCTCTGAAGCTTGCCTCAACAGCTTTGTCACACCCTGTTGGGCAATGAGTTCAGATTTTAACACCAGCACTGGTTTTCAATGGTCTTGCCAGTCCCACAGTCCTGTCTTGCTAGTTGCTCTCTCTCCCGGAAGATGTGGCCATGTTCTCGAGGTTCAAAGTACTGATGTCTCAAAATCATGTATGGCTACTGCAAAAGTCGCTTCGGAACCTCCAGAGCCGGTGCTTTCACCTTGCCCGGCCGCAGAAGGTCTTGGATGCGCCTGATTCTTTGTTGATGACAGGGGGGTCGCGGGGGGCCTTACGGACCTTTGGGATGTATATGAGCCATAGTCTAAACTCGCACCCCCCTTAATAACCTGTGTAGTACTCCCCTATATAAGCCCCTTTATAAGGAGTTTAGACTACAGCTCATATGGGGTCAGTAGATGATTATTGGTGTCGTCATGTGTTGCCCCTGTTAAACATGGATTCTTCCCTGGTCTCTGCAAGACTTAGCCGGACGCGTTGGCATGTAGACTAGCGGCTCTTGTCTTGAAGGGTAGCCACGCAGAAAATTGAGCCCATAATATTAAGAACAGAAATCAAAATAATAACAAAATGTTCATCATAACATTTGTAACAACAAAGATGTTCATCATAACAGTTGTAATATGACTAATAACAACAATATTAAGAATACTCGAAGGCATTGAAGCCTGAGCTCTGCACTCGTTGTAGAGCTCCAGGTAAGAGAACTTCACAAGGTGCTTCTGCGCGGTTTAGGGTTTAGGGTTTAGGGTTTAGAGTTTAGGGGGCTGGGATGGAGAAGCTTTCCTAGACCAAGCTACCAACACGTGCATTCTCGTCATTTGGATCATCACCACCAAAAACATTAGAGTAGGCCTCCCTGGGAGAGCGCACTACAATGGTAAAACGTGATATAAAGTTGTTGAGGAGATAACTTTACCTACTTTAAAGGCAAGCCATGGACAACACAAGTTAGCAGGAATATGAGCAGGTGCTTTTTGGTTTGTCGGCAAGACACATGGTCCATTCTTTCTAGAATTGCTTATGGCGCGTGAATGGGATTGAACAAGAATGTGCCAGAAGATGCCAGAAGGTATGAATGAACAATTGACGGCACATAAAAATGCTTGGTCTTGCTGGTGATGATGCTGACATGGTAGATGGCAATGATGAATGATGGTAATGACTCTGGTTTGCATTAGTTCTGCATCCCATTTGGGGGATGGCTGCAGCTGTTCCTGGCCCCCATAAACGAGTCGTAGCATTGCTACGACCATGGGCGGAGCAATGTCTGACTGGTAAAGAGATTTTGGAAGGCAGCTTTCCTGTCAGAAGGTTCGGCTTGCACAAGCACCCTCCTGTGATCCGCTGTGAATTTGATTGCTCAAAAGTCGTCACTCGATACAGCGCCTGAAGTAGTGTATCTCAAAAGGGATAGAAATCAGTACATACCCTGTAAAGAATGCACTTAGCTCCCAGGCTGCTTCCAGGACAGTAGCGTCTTGCAACCGACCAGGAAGGGCTAAAGGCTCCGACTGGTATGCATATTTACCCCTTCTCGTTAAACCTTACAACTCAGAAGGGCAAACCGCTACAAGAATCTAGAAGAGGGTCATCTTATTAGCTGCCGTTGCATGATTGTGGTCGCCGATTCGGAGCAGCCACTCAAGCTTCACATGTTGCATGGACAACCATAGCCGCCGACGTCAAATGAAGTTGTCATGGTGCTCTGAATTGAGGCGCGTGGCAGCCGGCGCCGCAAATTCCTCGTCAAACAGTTATCTCGACGCATGGTGTAGGGTCATCTTTCCAGAGCAGATGTGTCCAGACGTCCCCTCGACACTGCGCGGCGGCCCTCTTTGCTGAACTTGCACTGCACCCTATATAACCTGCGCGCCATCTCTCTGGCAGCGTTTCTGCGAACGTCGTCCATGTCTTGTTTGTTGAGAACCATCTGCGATCTGGTTCGAGGCCGGTATCGCTATATCGCCAGAAAGATCAGAGCTTGTGTGACTTTCCGTTGCGGACTGAGCTCGTGGATTGAGGCATGTTGCACCTAGCACGAGGCAGCAGAATCATGAAGCAAACAAAGCTCATCGAGGTGTTGGGAACAAGAGCAGCCCTTCTGACGTTGAGGATGCTGTTGAAGCTAGTGCAAAGGTAATAGTGGATTGGATGTAGATAATGACCATGGACTGGCACTCGGACTGATTGGCGACGTAGACAGGATAGCCGCCAGGAGAACGTTGCTGACCACGACAATTGCAGTGAGGACCACCGCAATGCTGTAAGAATCATGTGAATTGCCCTGCGCAGCATGGCCTCAATGATGAAGGTGACGGCTATGACTGGCATGGTAGATGGTAGACGTAGGTAACAGATGAGGACATGCAAGCATGAGTGTGATTCATGATGCTGAAGAAGATGAAGAATATCATGGGACCTGCATGAAACGTGTAAGAAGGATGGAACATGATGTGAACATGTGTGGACAATCGTAGAAACGCTGTGATACACGTGACTGGTGTTGATGATAGCGAAGAGGATTCAAAGGAATGTGATGATGCCGGGACTTCAACGGCGAGGCGCAGTGCCGGTAATGACGACCATGACTATCGTGATGCTGCGGCCGATGCTGCTCCTGGCAAAGTAGCAACGATACTGATGGCCGGAGTCAATGCATGAATACGACTTACTGCGACTGAGAACTTAACGATGCCGGTGATGATGAGGATGAGGATGATGATGATCATGGAAAGAGGTGGCTTGGCAGATGATAGAAGTACACATGAAGTCGAAACATATGCTCATGACAACGGTGCTGATGATACGATGATGGTGATCATGATTCCAACCAATTCAGTACACCCCTTTCTCCGTCCCCAGCTGTTCCATTCCAGTTCACCCAGGCAATACCAAATTCATGTGAAGCTATCCACAAAAGCTCGCAGATTTCAACATTTGCCCAGCCATTCCCTGCCAAAGAAAGACCAAACTCAGGCTAGCTTGCGTTAGCTGATGCTAGCTCCCGTAACAACCATGATAGTTGTGTTTTCACAATCTAGCCCCTCCACGCTGGTTTGAGTGGGACTTGAAATCTAAGCAAACGGCTCACACCACGCATGCTGCCTTGCTGCAGGTCGTTGAACGCAAAATGCAAAAGAGGATGATCAAACCCTGCTCACTTCATCCCTATCCCTAGCCCTCTTAAAAACATTCGCTGTCACACTCTCTGTTGGTTTTGCACACGGATTCCTTGCTCATGGAGGCTTTCATGTGTCAGGAATCTCTAGAGGCCCAGTGCGCTCGGCCTCGCCGCGAGCACGCAGCAGACGGAAAATCCCCTCTGCCAGGCGTGGGACAAGGCCCTGCTGTTCCTGGCCAATTTGGGCTACATTGGGATAATGGAAAAGAAAATGGAAAACTACTATATTATAAGAGGGGTTATATAGGGGTTGTATAGGGTTATATTGGGATTATATATTGGGACAATGGAAAAGAAAATGGAAACTACTATAATAGAGTATATATAGATATATATTAGGGTTATACAGGGATAATGAGCCTCCACACCTTGGGGGTGGCCACATCCTCTTCAATAGATCCCACCAATCATAACCAGCTCTCCTGCTGACGACCACCAAAGATAGTGTGACTCTTGCCGCTGCTGGAGGGCCTTACAAAGGCCAAGGTGGCATTTGCGCATTTTCCATTATCCCTATATAACCCTAATATGTATATATATATATACTCTATTATAGTAGTTTCCATTTTCTTTCCATTATCCCAATATATAACCCCAATATAACCCCTACATAACCCCTATATAACCCCTATTATAATATAGTAGTTTCTATTTTCTTTTCCATTATCCCAATGTAGCCCTAAACCCTAAACCCTAAACCCTAATATTCTATGCATCTGGGGCTAGTGGCCCACAGGCGATGATGGAGCCATGCAGGCCTTGCTGTTGAGAAACGCCAAGGGCCAGCAAAGCTTCAGCTGAGTAGTGTTGTTTTGGTGGGTTCTTTTTGGTGGCTTAGGGTTTAGGGTTTAGGGATTGAACCTAGTAAGATTTAATTATTCCTTATATAAAATACTATACCCCAAAAGGAGGATATAATCTTACTCTATACTGGGTACCATAGTATCCCCCAAATAAAATACTACTCTTTGCGCTGAAGACATGCCTTCCACAGCGTTCTGCACCAGGTGCTGCCCAAACAAATTGTAGACAGCAGCCTGCGCACTTTGCATCTACTGGGATGATGGAAAAGAAAATGGAAACTACTATGTTACAATAGGGGTTATATAGGGGTTCTATAGGGTTGTATTGGGGTTATATAGGGATAATGGAAAAGAAAATGGAAACTACTATATTCTATTGGGGTTCTATTGGGAAAATGGAAACGAAAATAGAAACTACTATATCATATACTGGTGTGTGACAGCACTGTAGTTGTTTTCCCTGCCTGAGATCCTCGCCCAGAAAGAACCCAATCCTCGGACCACTTGGAAACAGCAAAGGTGCCAATGATCATTCCCGCTTGCTTCCTAGGGTTTAGGGGCATAGGGTTTAGGGAATTGTTGCCCAATCAATTTGTCACATTCATCGTGCTTTCCCTTGTGGCAGCCTAACGAGGTGGCAATCATCAAGGGCTAAAACAACATCCAAACCCTAAACCCTGAACCCTAAACCTTGGGTACTGCCCCCCCCCCGCAGCAACAGTTGGATAAATATTTATAATATGGTTATATATAACTCTTAATAGGACCCCTAATATAGACTGTTACTGGGGGGGGGCAGTACCCAACCTAAACCCCAAAGCCCAGTTCTTATGGGCAGCCCCATACTCTTCAGACATATGTCTTCCCCCAAACCGTGCCATTCAATGATCATTCAATTGAGAGTTGTTTGGGGGACCACTACTAGAGACCCCTACGGGGTAGCTTCCCTTTTCTCCGCCTAGGATACATGGCTGCCCAGAAAGGGTCACTCTCGAATCCTCTGGATAGAGTCCTAGACCCTAAGCCCTAAACCCTAAACCTAAACCCTAGACCCTAAGTCCTAGACCCGAAACCCTTGCCTTCAAAAGCTTTGGTTGGATACCTCTCAGCTGCGCACAAACTCCCAAGTCCGGGGCCAGCTCCTACAAATCCAGCAAGGTGGTGCATCTCTAAATACGGGGATTTCCATAAGGAGGAGATTTTTCGAAGCCTATATAAGAAGGATTGCAGCAAACCCTAAACCCTAAAACTAATTCTACCGGGGCTCCCTTTCTGGAAACTCCCACAGGACATATGGAGATCAAATGGAGAAGTGGAATAGACATGCAGGATGCAAAAATCAGTCAGGTACGGTTCACGGAGAATCAAGTGGAAAATGAGGGTGGTATTCAATGGTGGTGGTATTCAATGGAATATGAAATGGCTGTTGGGATCATTTCAGGGTTTAGGATTTCAGGCTTGCTGCGGTTCGTATGGAATGCAGAAACTGAAATGAAATGGAAACTACAGGGTTCTTTGGCGAGTATATACAGACTCGTCTTCCCATCCCTCCCTCACATTTGCGCTTCCCATAGCGCAGCGCGCACCAGCATCATCAGCATCATCAGAGTCAGATTCACAATGTTTGGGCCCCCCGCATCCCTTCATTATTTGTCCATTTCAGATTTGGATTCAATTTGGGTCCTGGCTTAGCGTAAAATGGCTACTGATGGTGCTTGTTTGGTATCTGGGATGACCGCCAACAAATCATTCAAACATCCTTGCATACCAAGGCCGGAAATCCCAAATCTTCACGCGAGTTCCGGCCCACTTCAACATCACCGAAGACTCGAGAAGACATTGATGATTTTTGCATTGTGTATGCTCTGAGGCATGTTTAGCGACTTGGGACTGGGGTATGTCAAGAGAGGAGGCCTGGGGACTTTGTCCCGGTCAACGAATAGCTCGTCGGAAAAAATCTCACGTATCTAAAAAAGAAAAAACGTTGCACAAAAGAAACATAATGGTGCGATAACCCGAGCGCGGTGTCAAGACAATCCACGAGGCACGGAATCAAGTCAGCAGTTCTGCTGAGTGATTCCAACAGACATTTCAACCAGAATCTACCAGATCAACCTTTGCCGTCTTCTATATCATTTTGGCTTTTCTAGCGTGCATTGACAAAAAACGCAACCTCTAAATCCTATACGTATTTCTATGGGGACCGCCACGAAGGGTCCCACTTTTTTGGAAGCTCCAGAAGTTAGCCGTTCGTTCGCTACAAGAAGTGTGCATGGAAGGGATTGCTTTTGGCTACCGGTCTAACCGGCAATGGATGCTACCTTGCACAAAAGGTTCGCGGTTTAGGGAGGGCGACTGTATATGGTAGGTTGTCAGGTCCCTTTTCGAATCCCCATGATAATACGGGCCCAATATTGAGGGCACCGGAAAGGGGACCATTACTTCGACAACCCCGCACACAACTTCTGTAAGGAAACTTCCCTGTGTCCTGGACAAGCTTGCGAAGCTTTGGAACATGCTTCCAGGGCCGAATCGAGGAAGCCTGTCAGAGACACATACCAACCAAGTAGGTATGAGTATGCAAGGACGTATGGGGTTATCTGAAATTATATGTTTCTAGAGAAAGACATACTGGGCTTCATGGATATTGCCCAACACTGGAGCTCAAACGGGAAAGAGCATGGAACATGAAACGGAAACTAGGAATGGTAGGAATATATTTAGGGTCTAGCAGGTGGGGATACGGTTGGGGGATAATGGAGAATCAAATGGAAAGGAAGATGGAAAAAAAGTGGAAGCTGGGACGATATGAGAATTTAGGGTTTAGGGACGTTTCGAAACTCTAGCGCAATCTATGGTTGCAATTGTGAGGGACTATGGTATTATCTGGTAATAAATTGAGCTTTCCCCTGCGCAGCATACCAATGTTATGCTCTGTGGGAAGACTGCAACTGCTCCAGGCATGCTTTGAAGAATGTAACTGACGCATGCCTTGCGGATGAATTCAGCGATTCCACCAGCAGCAGCTTCAACAGTCCACTCCCCTTAGTGTGATAAGCAGGAGACAAAATCAGCTACTAGTCTGCGCTGTGGATGAGATTGCCTGCTGCAGTTGTTTCAAGAGGCCCCAGTTGGCTTCATAGAAGCCAGCTATGCCAGGGTCAGACTGGTCTACTGCCAGTGATTACCAGAGCTGTACAAAACAAAAACAAAACGATGCATTTCAGCCCGCATGCTTAGGCTGCTACCGCAGAAGCGACTTGTAAAAAAAACAGCAACACCTAGTGGCCTTCGCATCTTTGCATTGGCAACTATGTCATCTCATTGCTTGTTCCCAAGGCTACTGCTGAGCACGTGCAAGAATCGAAGCATGCCGGAATTCTGAGCATGCATGCAACTCCGCTGCTTGCTTCAGTTGCAACGCAACTTTGCGAATTCCTCGAAAAGATGCGAATTCTAAGCTTTCAACAGCCTTCTGGCCTTCTGCTGTACAAGCTGGTACCCTAACAAAGGAAGGTCACCCCAGCCTCTCGTGAAGCCTGGAGCTCTTGAAACCGTACTTCCCTTGCAACCGCTGCTTCCGTGATAAATTGCTCCAGGATCATCTTCTGCGCTTTAACATCTGGGTCAATGTTTCTCAGCAGGTCCAACAAGTAACCGCGGAAGCAGCCAAATCTGATGGCCTTCGCAATGGTTTGGAGTCGGCTCAGCGGAAGAAACAAAAAACAAAAAAAAGCGTTGCAAGGCAAACCCTAACCCTTACGCCTGCTTGTAAACCTAGCGTCATGCCCCTCTGGGCTGAACTGCTCGCGGAACATAGCCCGGTAGGAATCCTCGACATGAACCAAGTCTGCGTTGTCGCCATGGTGCAGTACTGCGATGGTCAGGTTGATCTGCACGAGCTCATCTTCCCCAAGCAGCCCGTCACCATCCAAGTCGTGTAGCAGAAACAGCTCTCGCGCAAGCCTGTCTATGTCATAACCGTGACTGTCGTGACTAATGTCGTCAGAGGTCCAGCGATGCTTCGGCATCGAACGCTTTAGGGAATCTGTGAGGCCACGACAGAAGACCACTTCTTGCTCCATCTGATGCAACTGCCGTGAAAATTGAAGCTGCTCAACGCATGCGCGGTTCAAGACAGGAAAGGTCTCCACACAGGATGCTCCACAAGCTGCGCCCATCAGCTGCACAGAACTGCAAGGAATTTGGAGATCTACAGAGAGTAGTTTGGGAGTGTTTTCTCGGCCGCGGCGGTGCAGGCTTGCAAAGCCCCATGGGGATGAAGTCATCAACTCTGTGTGTACTTACTTGCTTCAAAGTCACATGGAAAACAAATGGACAATAAAGCGGAAAGTGGGAGTATATAGGGGAGTACGGGGATCAATACATAATGCTATTCTTGGGCACAGGCTTGCGGACCTGGTACAATGCTTGGTAGCTCGCCACTGTTTGCCTGCACACCAAGAGCTACGATGACCTGTTGCAGCCAAGCAGGACTCGTCTAAGGACTTTTGGAGGGATCCCTAATAATAGGGAACCTTGTAGCTTATGGGGGTCAGTATNNAGGGGTTATATAATGACTACATAAGTAACAGTTATATATGGTAATGGGATTAAGGGTCCCAAATAGAGGTCCCTCCTGAAGTCCCTAGAACTTGAGCTCAGATCGCCTCGTCCGATGTGAGGGGACGTATTCTCACGCATACCTGCATCAGGCTGCAGAAGACCGTATGATATAGTAGCTTCCACTTGCATTTCCATTATCCCTACATAACCCCAATATACTGCAGTAGTTTCCATGTATTTTCCATTATCCCAAGATTACCCCTACATATACAAGCTGCTTGAAATGTCACGCGCAGCTGCTGGAATCTAGGCATGTCACCCGGATCTGTTCCGAGATTCTCGGTAGGTCCTGTGGCATGATGGCACGTTGATCTTCACGCCACAGGGGCCAGCACAATGTTATTAGCATTTTTCGTAGTATTATTCGTATTATTCATATTACTAGTATTATTAATATTATTTGTATTTTGAATTTATGATTCGCATGATCAGTATTATTAATTTTCTTCTTATCCTTAGTATCATTAGCACTGTTGTTGGTGCTAGTGTTATTCTTGGCGTTAGTATTTGTATTCGTATATTAGTATTGTTTTTCGTGCTCCTGCAAATGGGTTTGTCCATGGCTTGCGATTGCTGGATAGGACGACGATAAGGTCGCATCCTGATGCACAACAGGTTGCATTAGACGACTGGGTTGCTGCTGAGGAACTTAAATTAAGTTACCATATTGGGTATATATAGTAATTAATACCGGTTCCCCATATAGTAACTTAAACTAAGTCCCTTAACAGCAACCCAGTACAAAGGGGATAACAACCACAAAGCAGATGCCGCTCGGCCTTCCTGCCACCGCCAACCCTTGAAAACCTGGGCCAGACAGCGCAAGCACAACAACTTTCCTGGGTTGGTGTTAAGGGACTTAATTTAATTTAAGTTACTATACTGGGAAACCATATCAATGACTGTATTATATATGTATACATATATACCCATCATGGTAACTTAATTTAAGTTCCTAATAGCAACCCATTGCAGAAAAAATCGCTAGCAAGTACGTGGTAGCTTCCGTATATCGGCGCTCCAATACTTCGAGGGTCAAGGGTACTTAATAAGTAGGCTAATAATGGGGATGATTCGGGTTACTATATGGGTTATAGGGGTTATGAACCTATTTACCAAGTCCGCCTGACCCTCCGGGTATAGACCCCCTTATTGTGGAGACCCCCACAATGGTACCCCTTATTGCGGGAAACCCCAATTCCTATAAACCGCTTAATCACACTTTCATTTTCCATTTTCTTTGCCATGTGATTCTCCATTATTGGGGATATATATATATATCTGTATATATACTTATTTATAATCATATATATATATATACGTCCCTAAACCCCTGAAACCCTAAACCCTGAATCCTAAGTAAACCCTTGGGCAGCAACTTTGAAGTCGAATCGGAGCCCTTGCGAGGGAGCGGGTTCTGCCACAACTTGGAAAAACACGTCCTGTGGCTAGCAGGGAATACGGGAATACATTATCTAGGGATTATATAAGGGCCATATAGGCGTTCTATAGGGATTCTGTAGGGGTATATTCCCTTATCCTCTACTATCCGCCAGTAGGAAACACCGGAGACAAAAGCCGAAAGCTGTTGCGGTGCGAAGCGGTTCACAGCATCTTCAGGTCAGGCGCGCGCTGTACACATTGCCCATGGCAAGGTCGCACGACTTTCGGATGAAGATACACTGGCCCCGTGTGTGCCATCGGCTTCGCATTGTGCAAATTGACTCATGCTTACTTCTACGAGCTCATCGGAGCATTAGAGCTGGCACCTGTCCTCCTTAGGCCCAGGGCTGGATGAGTCGCTCTGTGCCATCAACAAATCAAGCGCTGCGGCATCAGCTGCATGTTGTAGGATCTGCTGCACATTCTCTGCAACAACCTTCGCAAAGGCATTGAAAGGAAGGTGGTTGGTCTGCTCGTGGAAGGGTCGTTCACATGCAACGGCAGCTGCCTCCACCCCTAGAAGCGCATAGCTGATAAGGATCACCATGGGCACAGACCACCACGACTTCATCTGCAGTGTCCAGGGCAGCCCCAACAAATACAGAGTCAAACAACTGCGCAGGTGCGCCACGTAGGCAAAGGGGAGCGGAGTGTTGTTGATCCGCTCCATGGCACCCATAGCGCCTGTCAAGGTTGCGATGTGACCCTCTAGGGTCTGTAGCATGACTGCTGCAACCGGCGCAGGATCCATCGTGTTGCTTCGCGTTGCTGCCAGCACTTCTTGGCGAAGTCGGTCACAGCAGAATAGGGTCTGCACTGGGGCCCTGCTCAGAGCTTCGATCTGTGAGTTTGACAATATGCCTTGAAGATCCTCCAAATGAGATTGCCCACGCAGAAAATTGCGAGTCGCAGCTGGAAAGGTGACAACCCATCGGCAAATTTCATCACAAGCACGAGGGTCATGGGCACAGAACCTAACTGCTTCGCCAGCAAGCACCCTGCAGGTCTCTATCAGCTTGCCTGCGGCAGCTCTAGCGTCATAGAACCTCACAGCTGAGCGGTTCAAGCGATACACCAGCAAGAATGTCAAAGGAGTCAGCAACAGGGCGTAGTCCTCTTTGAGAGTTTCTTCCAATTCTGGAAACTGCCACTGGTGACCCAAGAAAAAGCTAGAGCTCTTGACGAGGGTGGCAGCAACCGCCATCACTGCGACAGCTAAAAGAGGGGGCAAAGCATGTAGAACTGGACGTCCACGCAAGGAAAGGACTGTGCGCAGCCATCCCTGGCAGTCACAGCCGGCTGAGTCTGCTTTGTAAGTGATGACCTCAGGAAACCGAGATCCAGCCAAACAACCAGGCAGTCCACAGCAACATTTGATGCAAGCTCGCTGGCTTCGCTGGCTTGACTGCTCTGCCTGCTGCCGTCGGCGTAGCACATCAAGCAAGGTGTCGGGCTTCGCGGAAAGCTGTGTCGGCAACATGCGGAAACACGCAGGCAAACTTTTGCTGGTACCTGTGCTTACTCAAGGCTGCCTTTCAAGATGGCCAGTGAGACCGTGCACGTCTGCAGACCTTGATCCCTATCATGAAGCGTCATGAGAACACACTTGAGCTTCGAGCAGCTTGTGTCAGACATGCTGAGTGAGTCAAGCGCGATCCACGAGTGCAAAGTCTCAAAATATCTTGCACAGCATGTACAGCCTTAGGAAACGAAGTCCAGGTCGCTCTACTTTGGCGACCTGAAGTTGACCGATCATGGCTGCAAAAATGACATGCAATGAAAAGCAGGGCTGTTGATAAGTCAAGCCTGCTGAAGATCTTGGCATAAGCCAACTGGTTGATGTTGTTGCATCTGGCATGCGCCTACAGGAGATTACCGCAACTCGTGCACAAGCCAAACCATGCGATCTAGACTCGAGCCTTGTTGACACACGCTCACCAGGTAAATCCCGCAGATGCCCCTTTAAAATACTGTACAAGTTTGAACTGTAAAGGGCTGACACGAGCATTGACACACCATGACCGCGGGAGCACCATCTTGCTACCAAAACGAAACACGTTGTCGCACTACCTGCCGGAGACTCCAGGTTTTTGCTAAGCAAACATGAGTCCCCCATCACAGCATCTCGGCTCTACAATTTTGAGCACTCAATCCCTGAGCTGTTTGCAGCACACTTGCATCTTCTGATGAAAAACAGCTCGGGGAAGGGAAACAGCAGGCTGCGTAAGGAGTACATTGGCAGTAAATGGCTGATTCTCCAGGACCACAACTGCCGCAGAATCACAGCATCCCGCATCTGATCACATCAGGATTGTGGGACCAGCTTTTTGAGGAGCGGCTGTTGTTGTCGGCTCCTCTTGCTTCCTAGCCGCACAGTGCAGGTGCCGATGACACAGCAAAGAAGACGCAAATACTCAGCTTTGCACCCGCTTGACCCCCACATCATCCACACGAAGAACGCGATCACCAGCACCTGGCGCAAAATATGAGAACCTACATCAAGAAGCTCGCCATGATCATCTGCTAGGGAAATGCGCTAGGACGGCCAGCAACACAGCAAAGATCCACCTGTGACAGCAAAGCCCGGCAGCCAAGCCAACATGACACTCTCAATGCTGGGCTCACGGCTTCTTGTTTTCCGCTTGTCGCAGCTCACGCGCATCTTGGTGGTGAAGGGGTGCCTCCGCAGGCTAAGTTCTCAGCAATTGCAGAAAGGTTAGGGGATGCTCTCATAGCTGTGGCTGTTGCAGAAGATGTATCCATGGCGGTGGACGCATTCGTTGAGGACAGCTTGCTAGGGTCCTGCAAGGTCAACAGTCTGGGTTACACTGCCACATGAAGTTGTTGCGGGGCATGCGGACAGTGGCCTGGTAAGCCTCATACTTTTTCACCAATTCCCTCATCTGGTTCTCCAACTTCTCATTCAGTGCATGCTTCTCGGCATCATCCAAGTTGGCATCATCTCTCTCCACCAGCCCACGGAAATCTGGCGCAACGTTGCTCAACCACACAATCGGAATGACCCGCCAAAAAAGCCAGGAAAGCCGTACAGGAGCTGGTAAGCTTGTCGCTCAGGGTATGTTAGCAGAGAAGTGACCTCCAGTGAAACAGTTGCACCGCTCAACGGAACTGGGCAAGTCTGCATGGCAGCTACCTGCTCCTAGAATGGAGTAGACCTACTGGTGGTTAGGGAATATGGGAATATTATCCTTATATACTCCCAATCCCTGTGTCATCCCTATATAGTATATTCCCTTGTTCCTTACTAACCACCAGTAAGTAGCCCGAAACCCTGAACCTTAACTAACCTTAAACCCTAAACTTCAAACCCTAAACACTAAATATGAAACCTTAAACCCCGAACCCTGAACATGATACCTTAAACCCTCAACCCTAGACCTTAAACCCAAACCCTACACCCCAGATGAGGCTGGGGCAACGCAATATAGAAGTCTAGCCTGCTCATCCATGAGGCAGCACACCTCGAGTATAGGGTTATATGGTTTTTTTTAGGGGTTACATTGGGATTCTGGGAAATAAAGTGGAGACTACCTTTTTTTTCAACCCTGTCGACTCTTTCGTGTCTAGGAGACTACTATTTAGGGTTTAGGGTTTAGAGTGTCGGGTATAGGAATCTAGGGTTTAGACTTGAATGGGGACGCCAAACAGGGAACCCCAAGATTTAGAAGATACTAGGAATATAAGTACCTGGTGGGTATATTCCTATCGCATTGCTACGAGGTTCTTGGGCTTCCTGTTTGGGGTCCCCATTCAAGTCGTTTCTAGATGGCATAGACTCTGACCCTTTGCAGGCTTAGGGTCCACACGCTACCATTGTTCCACTGCAGTCTAGTTCGCTGACCAGCAGCAAGCTTCTGGGAGGAAGCCTTCACAAAGCGAGGGTTGCAGCAGGAATCCGCATGTTGATGCAAGCTGGCCTTGAGCAGCTTCTGGAAAACTTCCTGCGTCTGCTCCTTGCAGCGAACAGTACACACGGATGCAACTTCGACATGGCTGTATCCTGGTATCACTGTATGCATGCACTCAGAAAAGGCCTGCTGCTCAACACTCTCCGGATCTATGTAGTACGCGAGAGTCACGCTATCCTCACCAGCTGCAAGACTTGCTAGCGACATTGTGACAGTGCTTTTGATGAGACGATGCTCCTTGACCCGACCAACAGCCAGGAAGGGCAAAGAACTGCCTCCCCATGATTGGTTCTGCATGTCGCCCCGCCAAGTGTGAGGCGCCAATCACTTGTCTTTGAGCCAGCAGGTCGGCACAAAACACGACAAAGAGCTACATGGCTGCACGCTTGCAGGAGTAACTGCTGCAAACAAGCCCAGACGTCAATCAGTGTAAAGCAACTTTCCAGCTTTTGTCCTCGCATGTCGTGTGCCCCTGGTCACACATTTGCTGGTGCACCAGCACGAGCTAGCTGCTGCTCCAGCTCCTGTGGCGTCGGACCACGACCTAGGCTTATCCAGGCTTGTAAAGTTCGACATGCAGTTTCGCCAATATCCACAAGGCATGCCGCCTTATGATGGCAAAAACCCCAAGGCAGCGCCTGAACGACACCCTGAACGATACCGACTCTGAAAACTGCCCAGGGGTCTTGCTGAAGGACTCGATGTGGAAAGTCTCTCCTGAAAGGCTAGGCCTCTGCATCCGTCCAGCTTTGTCCCTCTCACAAAGTAGCGGTGCATTCAGCAGCGTCCTTGCTGCACCAGCCGGAACAAACCATGCAAAAGCCGAGCTCGGCCCTCAGCAGTGGTGATTTCCAAGCACGGACCTCCCTAGAACGTGCTCACGACAGAGAGGACGGCCGCCAAAGCTTTACAAATTTGAAAGGAAAAAAGATGCAAAAAAGGGGTTGTACATGGCACAGTCTCCTCTGCCGTCGCTTAGGGCCTGGCTGCTAACGTCTCCATATCACCTTGGCCCAGCCTCAATCTCATCTGGTGCAACTGAGTCATT